GAAGAGACTGGACAGCCATTTGTCCGAGATGGTATAGGGTTTCCTGCCTGAGCAGGGGGTTGGACTGGATGACCTCCAAGGTCCGTTCCAACTTTTATTATTATTATTATTATTATTATTATTATTATTATTATTATTATTATTATTATTATTATTATTATTATTATTATTACTACTACTACTACTACTACTACTACTATTACTACTACTACTACTACTACTACTATTATTCTGGAGCCCATCTTTGGGGAGCCTCCCTCCAGCAGAGTCTGTGCTGTTTTTTGTCTGGTGATGTTATGATGTTGATTGGGGTAGTGGTACACACCCCAATCAACATCGAAAAAGCCACATACAACAGGCACCATATAAATACCACACGCCTTCTTTATAAAGAATGAAGACTGAGGTTAAACCACCCAGAGAAGCACTTTGCATCACTGTTGTTTGCCTGTGTCAGCCGTTTTAGCAAGTTATTTGCCATTTCCTTGGCTTTTCTGCATTTTCACACAGTTTCTGTTGTGTGGTGCGATTCTTTTAGTTTCGCTTGATATTGTTCAGCAGCCAGAGTCACGTGGGAGGCTATACAAATTGAAGGAATGAGCGAAGGGATGAAGGAATGAATGAATAACTTGTTCCAAATATCTATCTTTCTCCTTTTTTTTTTTTTAAGCTTGCCAGTGTGACCCCCAAGGTTCGCTGAGTTCAGTGTGCGATCCCAACGGAGGCCATTGTCAGTGTCGACCCAATGTGGTTGGCCGAAGATGCGATAAATGCGCCCCGGGCACCTTTGGCTTTGGACCCACCGGATGCAAACGTAAGTTCTGTCTTCGTTCCGGAGACCCCGATGCTGTTCTGTAAGGTTACTTGGCAAGAATTAAGAAAAAAAAGAATCTTTTGGTTTCTCTCTTGCATCACATCTGTAAAAATCCTCATGAACTAAAATGAAAAGACAAATCTGTGGGGTCCTTGGCGCTCTCTGAGCTTGGTGGCTTCCTTGCAGATGTTTCATCACCGAACTAGCGCTGATGATGTTACCTAGTTGGGTAACAAAATGTCAGCAAGAAAACAACTTAGCTCAGAGAGCATCAGGGACCCCACAGTCCTCCTCCTTTTCCTCCTCCTCTTCCTCCATCATTCCACAAACCCTACTCCCTTCCAGCACTGCTGATGTTACCTAGTTTGGTAATGAAACGTCTGCAAGGAAACAACCAAGCTCAGAGAGCACCAAGGACCCCACAGTCTTCTTCTTCCTCCTCCTCCTCCTCCTCCTCCTCCTCCTCC